CTGGCTCGGAGCCGGACAGGGCTCAGCCCTGCAGCTCAGCTTGCCCAGGTGGGTGAGGAGGAAGATGCACTTACCTTCTTCCCTTCTCTCTTCTCTCAGTCATATTGAAGGACCTACTGGCATCTCTTTGCCGGTGAACCTCAAACAGGAGAGGACAGGGTATTGAGAGCCTGGATCTTCTCCATGATTTACTTGCCCACTTTCATAGGATGGATTAACCCATCCTTGAAGCCCGCTCCTGCAGGCAACTCCCTCCGTCATGTTTTCCCACACATCTCTGGACAGTGACTGTGCCTCCTCGTGTGAGCAGTAACCTCTCCTGACTTCAGCTTGCAGAAGTGGTTTCTGCCCAAGGGAAACCAATTAAAATCCACAGCAACCAAAACTTTTCACATTTTGTAATAGTAATAAATTTGGGGAAAAAAATCCTGTGATTTGCATGAGGAGGTGTGGAGGTGCATGAGGGCTGGCACAGAGCACCCTGCCAGGCCGGCTTGAGGGTCTGCGCCTGTCTGTCCCCAGGCCCCTGCTCCGGCAGGGCTGCCCAGCTGCGAGGAAATGTCCCCCTGGTCAGCAGAGAGAGATCGCAACAGTGAGCGGAGGGAAACTATATGAAGTGGTGTGCCTAATTTAGTCTATCAGAGGACAAAACGACATACAAAGCCCTAGATCCTGGCAAAGGGTTATTGAAGGGGTCTCCTTAGCACTGAGAAGCAGCCAGGGACTCTTCCCCCCCCACATTTCTGCAGAGGACTCCCCCCCCCAGTTTTAATCCTTTAAATGCAGGAAGCAGGAGGGGGCAGGAGAAGGAATGAAAACCCAGGATTTGGGAAGTATTCGCGTTTGTCTGGTTCTCTTCCTCCTATTGCTAGCCATTTCTTTTTTTGACGATAACCAACCTCACTCGACTGAGCAGCAGCACCGAGTGCATCAGCTTCACAGCCCAGCGGAGGGGGCAGCGCTTTAGAGAAACCTGGAGGCAGAGGTTTCTCTGCCCACTCCCAGCACCCCAGAGCCCCATCTGCCCTCCAGCCCTGCGTTGCAGCCCCAGACCGCGG